GAAGTTGCTCACAAAGACTTGGAAGAAGCAGGCATCAGTGAGCAAGACAAGCTTTCCAGGAAGTGTAATAACGATGCAGATGTGGCTGCCAAGTGGGCTCTCAGTCTCTACCTCGTTGACAAAGTGGGGTTGGAAGGCGTCGGCCGACAAGTGGCCATAGCGAAAGCTGTCTGTAAACTGGTTTCTAGGGTTCTTCCCGAATGGCCGCGGGTCGACCTTCTTTGCCAACAGGGACCCCCCTCCTCCACCTGCAACGTGAGGGCTGAGTGATCTGTGTGGTGGAGATGCAGGGTCTCCCTCATGGGCCGTAGGTCTTCCCAGGATCCAGTCCCAGGTATTTGTCCTTGGCGCAGTAAGCTTGATGAAGGGGCTTTGGTGTCGTTGCAGCATGTTCTGCTCGCGTTCCCGTGCAGCGACGGAGAACATTTTCTCATGTGTACCAAGCGCCGTTCGCACAGTTCGTGGGCCAGGATTGACGACCTAGGTAAGCAGTGCAAAGGCGTCGCCACCAGGAATTCGGATTTTGCTTGGATTCAGCTTTGCAGGGGCAAGCGCCCCAACCCTCGGAAGTTGCACGTTGTGGTTAATAACCATTCGGTGGCGAAGATTTTCGGGACCGAACCATCCAGGACCGTTGTGCAGGAGTCTGTTCAAGCATGTTGGGTTGGAAGCCCTGACTCTGGTGCACGCTTTTTGCTGGAGGTGGTTGCCGCCCTTCGTTTAGACGGCGCCGAGACCGTCCCAGTGCACCATCAACCTTTCTTGTCCGACGACTCGGACTAGTTCTGCGGGCTGGCCCTCGTCTTCTCGGGGGCCGCTTGCTGCGAGTGGGGCCGCAGCTTTCCTCCGCTCGAGGCTCTGTGCACCTTTCTTGCGCCAGCCTCTGGGCTGGCTCCCTAGGCGTTGGACGAACTGCTCGACACCTTGTGTTTTTTCTTGTCCCAGCCTCTGCTGGAGCCAGGCAGGGCTGTCTCCCTGCCTGGTGCTCGCATGACGCTCCCTGCTTTTCCATGCGTGCTACGGTGGCAGTGAGAGCGTTGAGCTCAGAACAAAAAGAGTTGACCAGCTCACCTTTGGCTCTGGCCACCTGGCACTCCTCAGGGGTTGGCAAGCTGGCCGAGCCCTGCGCCCAGGAGCAAGCAACGGCCATACTAAGAATGGCGGCATCTGGTTTCGATTTCGACTGTTGCTTCGCTCGCGGAGAGGGTTCGGCCAGTGACGCGAATAGGTTTCCTGGGCCCTTGTGTCCATCAATCTCTGGAGGAGCTCAGTGGCCACCGGCTCTGTTTGGAAGCAGGGGGTCATCAGGCGGATGTTCTGGCGGGTGCTGCTTCGCAGCGAGCCCTCGGCACCACCACCCCGCCGCTCCCCTGCACCGACAAGTATGATGCGACCGCTGGCCTCTCACGTCAGAGGTACCGTGCGATTCTTCGCACTCTCGAGAAGCGTCCAGAGCTCCGTGGAGTCTGGCCCGTCGAAGGAGGACCCGAGACGGTTTCCCGCCTCCAGGCCGCTCCTGCTTTCTCGTCTCGTGCGTTTGTTCGGTGCGCTGACAGACTGCGTTGCAGAAGCTGCCCGTGGCTGGTCGATGTCGGCCAGGCCTTTGCAGATACCCAGACAGATGACATTCTAGTTGAATGCCTTGATGCGTTGCATTCTCGGGGTTTGGCGACGCGTTCCACGTCTGGGGTCCGCGTTCGATCAAGTGTAGACCGATTCAAGACTCGCATCTGTTGCCCGAGGTTCCTAAGTGGCAACTTCTTTCCTGCATCAGACATGGGCACACGGCCACTCGCAATTTAAGTAAGCTCAGAACCGCCTGCCCCCTTAGAGATGCTGCTGGAACGGACTGGCTGACAGCCCACACCGGCAAAGGGCAGGATAACCTCTGCGCCCCTCTTGCGCAGGGCTGCCGAAGGCGGTTCTCGAGGCCTTCTATCAGCTCGCCACCGAGGCCGCCGTGCGTGACGCCAACTAGCAGGTTCGCTCGGCCCCTTGCGGCGCGAGTGCGGGAGTGAACTCTCAGCCGAACTTGGGACCATCCGCTTCCGCGCTTAGGCCGGGATATGCGCCCCCTCGCCGCCAATGGCGACAGTTTCTGGCATTTTGGCCGAGGGGCCCTTGCAGTGCAGGAGCCGATCGGGCCCTGCTCAGATCCCGTTCCCGAGGACACGTCCCGGGTGCTCCGCACGATAGCCCCCCGCCCTCAGTCGAGATGAGGTCCAGCTGGCCCGCCCTCCTGAGGCCCTTTGTGGTTACGAGTCGGGCTCCGATTGAGGTCACGGACTCGGCCTCTTCTTCTTCTTCTTCTTCTTCTTATTATTATTATTATTATTATTATTCTTATTATTATTATTTTTATTATTATTAGTATTAGTATTAGTATTATTAGTTGTCTTATTCTTCTTAGTTTTCTTAGTAGTCTTAGTATTATTTGTCTGTTTATTGTCTTAGTTTCGTTATTAGTATTACTGATATTATTCGTCTTATTATTTTTCTT